TGTATCGTTGAAAACAAAGACGGTTGAAATGAGCTCGTTCGATGCCAAACGATCGCGGAGCTCATCCGTTAGCACTAAAATTCAACAAAATTAATTTCCATAATGGTCGATGGGTACCAACTGGAAATATGCAGTGCAGGATCGGATAATCTAGTACCTGATCTATGTGAGCATTCTAGTAACATAAGGCACCTAAACTGATAGCCTGGGAGATCTTAATATTCTTGGCAAATGCGCAATATTTAAAACCTACATTCTTTGAATGCCGTAAAATGAGGGCTATTCGAAATGATTTCAAGAAGTGTTTGTGTTGTTAACGGAAGTGGTTTCTGCAGCAGCTGTACAATGCCATTTTTCCACATCAAATCTTCATCTGCTGTTTGTACGCAATTCAGCAAAGGCTGAAATATACAGTCACAATAACTTTTAAAAGTAGCATGAACTGAAAGTTGAGGCTTCAACTCTGTCAGTGCGACAACCAATCCCTGTAAGATTCGCTCAAAAGTTTCGATAGTAAATTGGCATTGGCATCAAAATCGCCATTAGCTTGCTTCTAAGCAGCCATCGAAAGAGGGAGCTATCGATAGTACTGTCAGTAGATGGTGTTGTTAACATTTGCTATGACATGTGCTATTTTCTGAACATATCTTCTTTCTGCAGAAACTGAGGGATGGCCTAGGTCTGGATTTTGTTTTTTTTTTTTTTTTGAAAAATGCTGTAACTGACGAAGCTGGTTTTCTTGAGAGGAGTCTGAGCTTTTTCGTGATGCGCTTGATTTTTGCTTTTTAATGACACTTCTTTGACAGACATGTCTCAAGTTTTTTAGCTCTGTTGTGTTTTTGTTCATCAATATGCAAAAAACCGATTCAAAAATTGAATTTTCAAGGCATTTCCCGCCCGGACGTAAATAGTAATAAATAATAACTTGGACACAAGTGATAATAATTATTAATAACAATTAATAATGACACGACTTAAATGTAAGTAACGAAAAAATAACAGCAATAATTTCAGTGATAATGATAATAATAACAATGACAGTATGGATGCGATAATAATTATCGTTTTAGTAATAGTTAACAGTAATAATGGTAATAATGTTGATAAATAATGGGAAAAGAAAAGCTAGGCTCGTTTGGGATTGAACGCTGCTTAGTAAAACTGAGCAAAAAAACATTACGTATGCTTTAGCCGAGCGCTCATTGCGCACTGCTAAAGTAGAGGAAAGTGTTTTTAAACTCCTCACTTGCAAACGTTGCGAGTTTTCAGTTGCATATTTGGAGAACCACGCTACGAACTGCAGGTTTCAGGCTAATTTTTAGATGGCACTTACTTTGTCGTTTGTCGATCCCGTTCGCTTAGTATTAGCTGCAGCGATAACAAATGTGTTCTCTTTTCGTGTGGGCAATTTTTGCGAATGTAGCAATTCGTAGCTCCGGTAAGGCTCCTTCAGAATGTATCCTTCCCAGTCTCTGTCAGTAGCGCCACCCTGAAATAATAATGATTTTTGGCTTGAGAAGAACAGGAGGGAACGCAGCACCCCTCAGGAACTAAAAAAGATGAATACCTTTTGAGAAAGAAGACACCCTTCAACAAAAAAAGAAGTTCACTATGTTTTCCAGGAAGTCCACAATAATTTTTTGATACCAGCAGTATTTCTGAGTTGTTTTATTGTTATCTTTATTGTTATTGTTATTGTTATCATTATTATTATTATTACTACTATTATTATTACTATTATTATTGTTACTATTATTATTACTATTATTATTATTACTATTATTATTATTACTATTATTATTATTACTATTACTATTATTGTTACTATTATTATTATTATTATTATTATTATTATTATTATTACTATTACTAT